CCCCCCCCCCTTCTCTACAATACAATTGTGTTTGAGGACACTTGTGATGAGAGGTGTGGCTCTTTCTCAGCTCTGCCAGCACAGACCACTGCAGTGTGAGGACAGGATGCAGCAGAAGCTATTTCAGGGTTATTTGTAGGAACCGTCATAACCTGGGAGGATGTATGACTATAAGGAAGGTGTGAGACCTCAAATGGGCTTATTCTGTCGTTGGTAAAATATGAAGCTCGGTGACGCTTACAAATTCATGAGATGGCTGTCTCTCTACCGCGTTTCCCCAAAAATAACACACTGTCTTATATTTTTTTTGGCTCAAAAAAACACACTCGGCCTTATTTTCGGGGGAGGTCATTTTTTTTTTTTTTTTTTTTAATGTACAACAATCCGCACTTATTCATGTAGAAAAATATGGTGATCAGGGCAATCGGGGGCACCGTACCTTTCCAAGAGCAATCTGCTAACTAATCGCTGGCCAGGATGAGCGAAGCGCGCTTTCACTATGGATTCCTCACAGGCGGAGTGCATTTGGTATCACTCCGCCTGTGACAGGAGACGGGGCTATAGAGGAGGCGTCGGCTTATGCGGCTCTGCTCCCTCCGCTGCCGCCTCGCTTCCTCTAGCGCCGGCTTCGTTGGCACCGCTGATTCTCTCCCGCGTCTCTTCAACTTCCCTCCTTATGCCATCACCGGCCCCGGGAATGGTCACAACTAGCTCTTATTTTCGGGGAAACGGTGGTTAGTCTCTGCTTCTACTGATCATTGCATGGAAATGTTGTCTTGTGATATAGAGTTCCTGCTGCTGAGTTTTGTTGATTTTTCTCCCTTAGAAAATCCTTCACCGTCCTGCGGTCATGCCGCCCATGATGCCCGGAGGCCAGCAGCCAGGCCCGGGACCCGCCGGACCTCTCAATCAGCAGAATCTTCCTGGTGGTCAGCAGCTGCCTGTGGTGAGTTTTATTGGTGTGATGATTTTCCTGTGGGGACAGTACGTGCAAAAAGAATCATCTGTATACAATACTTGCTAAGATAACGGCGTCATTTAACCCCTTCATGACCGAGGCTTTTTTTTTTTGTTTTGTTTGTTTTTTTTGCACCCATGTTGTGATGCACATTTTAGGCCTGAAGATTACTTCAAAACCCCCAAACCAGGACTGCAGCTAGCGATTATTTTCATAAACAATTAGTTGCCCGATTTAGTTTTCTCAACTAATCGATTGGATGTATTAAAACAAAAAAAAACTCCCTCTCTCCCTTCCTCCCCCCATTCCCTCCAACTAATCGGTAATGAAAATCATTGCCAACTATCCAACTATTATAATTTGAACTAATAGATCATAATCGATTAGTTGCCCGATTATTATTTTTTCAACTAATCGATTGGCTGTAGTAAAAAATGTCTCTCCCCCCAACTAATCAATGATGAGAATCATTGCCAACTATTATCGATTAGTTGTTGCAGCCCTACCCCACACATTATATATTTGCTGAAAGCCAAGACCTTATAGAATAAAATGGCGGCAGTTGCAAATTTTTATGTTGCACAACATTAGCAGAACTTATCAAACCCCAACATTTTGTAAAAAATGCACTTCAGTAAAATTTAGTGCCCCAAAACACTATATAAAACCATTTTTTCGCCACAAATTATAAAAGATAAGCTTGCAACGAGTAAATAGATACCCAACATGCCCAGGTTAGACATTTTTTATACCTGTGAAATGGCGACAAAATTCAGTATCCCAAAAAGTCCATAGACGACGCTTTAAAAGCCCCCCACAGATCATCAGTTTAGAGATATGTGTAAATATTGGCCCTGGGATTATTGCTCTCACTCCAGCGTGCGCGGCGATACCCAACATGTGTAGCGCAATCATCGTTTTTGTACGTAGGCGCACCCGACGCGTGTTTACGTGAAGATGAGCATGCTCCCGGGGCACCTAAAATTGTTTTGGTTTTTTTCATTATTTTTACATTTATTTCATTTTAATATTTTAAAAACGTTTTTTTTTTTTTTACTGTAATTGCTATCACATGGGGGGAGGGGTGGGGCTTACAAGCCCCCCCATGTGATAGCATATTGGTGTTGACAGGTCCTCTTTAAGGTGATGCTGGGGGTCCGAAAGACCCCTAGTGTCACCTTTACACTCCAAATAAGTTATTGAAGTGCAGATCGCGTTTGAACATTTCTGGCCATTTACAGATGTCCTCGGCCTGTAGTTCTGGAATTTTGTTGCGTTTGTTTTATTATCAGTAATATGCAATTTTATGATGTTTTCAGGGACCAATGCATTTGAATGGAGGACCCCCAATGATGCAACCTCTCCCTATGCAAGGTGGTGGTCCTGGCCCCATAGTGAACCCCGGACAAGGACCCGGACCACAAGGTGGTAAGACTAGTATTCGATAAGTACCTTGTAATGTATAAAAACAAAAGTCTGTGATTGGACGTTTGACATCGGACTATAGACATGAAGATGATTCTTGTTCCTATTTACTCTGATGCTTCAGGGCCGGGAGGGGGGGGGTGGTCTGGAATTTTCCCCGCATAGTGTGCAGTATAACAGAAACCTGTCAGTCACTTTAAAAGACAGCCGTACTTTTAATTAGGGATGCAGCGATACCGTTTTTCGGTATATAGTACGAGTACCGATACTTTGTTTTCGGTACTTGTCAGTACCGGTGCTTCCGCTGACATGGAGCCGGCCTCCCGGGCAATCTGATTGCAAGAGAAGCTGGCTCCATGTTGTCCGGCTGGCTTGATTGTGCTTGGGCGGGAAACCGGCTTCCCAGCCAATCGGGAAGTTATGCAACGAGTAATGACCCGCCTCCCAGCTTCCTGATTGGCCGGGAAGCCGGCTCGATACTGATTGGCCGGCTTCCCGGCCAGTCAGCAAAATGCCGGCTATTTGGCTGGCTCAATTCTGATTGGGGCCAATCGGCATCGATCCAGCCGAACAGCCGGCTCAATGCTAATTCGCTTGGAACCCGGCTTCCCAGCCAATCAGCATTGAGCAGGCTTCCTGGCCAATCAGGGAGGCGGGACATTACTCGCCGCCCAGCTTCCAGATGTTCCCCTAGGGCACTGCCGGTCAGAGGAAATCTTCCTCTGACCGGAAGTTCCGGTATCGGAGCATTTGGGCGAGTACTAGTATCCCTTCTTTTGATATAAACTACCATAACCCGCCCTTCCGAAATAATGTAGATTAAAACCCCAATCTCAGCTTCATACCTGCAACAGAGGTCCGCACTGAACCTACTGATGTCACCTAGGGACCCCCACAAAAGACTCCCGTCCAGCCGTTTTTCAACGTTCGGCGGACGGGAGGTGGTTACAGAGGACTTGAACTATAGAAGCTGTGCCCCATTGACGTCGGGCAGATGGCAAAGGTCTCCAGTATTGCCGGTGGTCTCCCTGCATTTACCCATCACTGACCACCATATACTGCACTGCGTCTCTATGTGGAGGCAGCCATCTTGGTAGAGGTAGGGCTTTACTTCCTCATTTCTGAGCTTGCCCCCCCTGATGACCTGTTAGAGGAATAATCAACCAGAGCACACTATAATATGAACAGATGACAGGTTCCCTTTGCAAATCACAAATAGCACTTGACCCGGCCAGCTCTTAAGATATGAGCGCTTTGAACCTGGAAGTGCTCAGAGCTGGGGTTGTGGGGGGGGGGGCTTTACCTTTGCTAACCATAGATGGAAGTTATGCAACGAGTAATGACCCGCCTCCCAGCTTCCTGATTGGCCGGGAAGCCGGCTCGATACTGATTGGCCGGCTTCCCGGCCAGTCAGCAAAATGCCGGCTATTTGGCTGGCTCAATTCTGATTGGGGCCAATCGGCATCGATCCAGCCGAACAGCCGGCTCAATGCTAATTCGCTTGGAACCCGGCTTCCCAGCCAATCAGCATTGAGCAGGCTTCCTGGCCAATCAGGGAGGCGGGACATTACTCGCCGCCCAGCTTCCAGATGTTCCCCTAGGGCACTGCCGGTCAGAGGAAATCTTCCTCTGACCGGAAGTTCCGGTATCGGAGCATTTGGGCGAGTACTAGTATCCCTTCTTTTGATATAAACTACCATAACCCGCCCTTCCGAAATAATGTAGATTAAAACCCCAATCTCAGCTTCATACCTGCAACAGAGGTCCGCACTGAACCTACTGATGTCACCTAGGGACCCCCACAAAAGACTCCCGTCCAGCCGTTTTTCAACGTTCGGCGGACGGGAGGTGGTTACAGAGGACTTGAACTATAGAAGCTGTGCCCCATTGACGTCGGGCAGATGGCAAAGGTCTCCAGTATTGCCGGTGGTCTCCCTGCATTTACCCATCACTGACCACCATATACTGCACTGCGTCTCTATGTGGAGGCAGCCATCTTGGTAGAGGTAGGGCTTTACTTCCTCATTTCTGAGCTTGCCCCCCCTGATGACCTGTTAGAGGAATAATCAACCAGAGCACACTATAATATGAACAGATGACAGGTTCCCTTTGCAAATCACAAATAGCACTTGACCCGGCCAGCTCTTAAGATATGAGCGCTTTGAACCTGGAAGTGCTCAGAGCTGGGGTTGTGGGGGGGGGGTCTTCACTTCTGCTAACCATAGAAGTGGTCAAGCCACTTTACAGCTGCCCAGGTCACTTCGGCTGTCTCTGGGTTTCCTGCTAGAAGACTACTGTAACAAGCTCAGGACCGTACCATGCCAGTCCAAGGGGTTGAAGTGTAACTCTAGTTTTCTGTTCCACTGTGTCTCCTCCAGACCAATTCCTGAATGAGAGGGTCAGAATGTATTATAATCACCCGAGCAAATCTCAGTGTTCTAATGAGAAAGCTGCAGTGTCTGTATGACTTTAGAAGCAGAGTGTGTTCAGTAGTTGTACATGCTGCAATTTCTATGGTGCGTTCATGTTTTCCCATATCGGTGATGGCCGATTTCTTCATCTTGGTGTCTTGAATCGCAGAGATTAAATCCTCTTTCTTCTGTCCTAGGAGTCTTACAGCCCCAGGGTGGGATCCCTCCGGGACCAGGAATTTCTTTGGAAAGGCCTCAAGGTAAATGTCAAAATGGCCATTTTATTAGGTTTAGACAAATCTGCTCTTTCCAGCACTATGTCCCTCTAGAGGCCGGGCCTCTCCAGCACTATGTCCCTCTAGAGGCCGGCCCTCTCTCCAGCGCTATGTCCCTCTAGAGGCCGGCCCTCTTTAGCGCTATGTCCCTCTAGAGGCGAGCCCTCTTTAGCGCTATGTCCCTCTAGAGGCCGGCCCTCTTTAGCGCTATGTCCCTCTAGAGGCCGGCCCTCTTTAGCGCTATGTGCCTCTATAGGCGAGCCCTCTTTACCGCTATGTCCCTCTAGAGGCGAGCCCTCTTTAGCGCTATGTCCCTCTAGAGGCCAGCCCTCTCTCCAGCGCCGTATATAATACCAATTACAGGATATCATAGGGCCCTATGCTGGAGAGAGCTGCCTACCAGAAAACACCCCTTTAATGCCTAGGAAAGGGACATAACTGCTGCTTTAGCCACCATGTGTGAAGACTTTCTAGTGACTTACCGTCTGTCAGGGGTGGGCAACCTCGGCACTCCATCTGTTGTGGAAATACAAGTCCCACGAGGCATTGCAAGACTCTGACAGCCACGGTCGTGATGGGATTTGTAGATTCACCACAGCTGGACTGCCACGGTCGCCCGCCGCTGGTCTAGTTTATCGTTAATGAATGTATCACTCTCCGTTATTATGTTACTCATCTTATGAAAACATACCACCTCCTATGTACAGGGTAGTAAGTAGACTTGTTACCCTCCAGGAATTGTATGTATAGTTTGTGTATTTCCTCTTTTGGTCGTGTGTTTGGTATGCCAAGGTATGTGTTATAAATGTGTCTCGGTCTTTCTTTTCATGCTGTCCATGGAAGGGAGCATGCAGCACTCTCCAGTGCCCCCATCTGGTCCTGCTCCAGTAGAGAGAGTATCAGGTACCTGATTGTGTGTGGGGAACCGCTGTCCATAGGAACCCACCTCATCCTTTTTAGAGGCATGGTTTTGCTGTGTGTTTTACTCCATTTTTATATGCGAGGCTCGATCATTCGCTGCTGAGGTCATTTAATGGAAGGTATTGTTAAAGGAGAACTATGAGGTGATTGCTTTTTACTCATCCTCATAGTTCTAGCTGACCTGTGACAATGAGACTGTCACAGGTCGGCTCAGTAGATCGGGAGGTGAGGGAACACATACCGGCGTTCGCTCACCTCTCAATCCTGTCACTGCTCTCTGCCGTGACAGGGGGAGGGGCTGGATTCCCCCCTCCCCGCTCCGATCCTCCAGCACTGACTGGCGGAACGAACGGGGGAGGGGGCGGGTACAGCTGGCTCTGCCTCTAGATAGGCAGAGACAGCTGTCAGTCACGCAGCTGGGCGGATCTCGACATCGATGTCGGGATCCGCTCCGGCTGCGGCGTCTCAGTATATAATGAGCTGTAGCTCCCTATATACTGAGCCTAGGGTGACGGGAGGACGCTAGTTTGTGTCCTCCCGTTACCCTAAGGAGAACTATGGGGAAAAGCTCTGACCCCATAGTTCTCCTTTTAAACAGATTTTCCATCCTCAGTCCATTTATCAGTTCTTAGCCCAGGGCTACTCACTTTCTGAAGTACTGGTAGGGATGCACTGATGCCCGGGAAGCCGGCTCCATGCCAGCAGAAGCACCGCTATCGGTACTCGGTATCGACGAGTAAGGATGGGCTCGGGCGTGTTCGCAGCTCCACGTGCCAAGCCCGCTAGGAAGCTGACAGTGCGCAGCGCCAATCACAGGTACTGAGACATTTCCCGGATCTCTGCAGCTGCGGACCGAGAAAATGTCTCGGTACCTGTGATTGGCGCTGTCAGCTTCCTGGCGGGCTCGGCACGCGGAGCTGCGAACACGCCCGAGCCCATCCTTATCGACAAGTACAGAAAGCAAAGTATATTGTGAGGATCCACCCTGCTGGCTGATTGACAGCTGGCTCTGCCTCTCTAGAGCCAGCTGTGCCCGCCCCCTCCCTTGTCTGCCACGTCAATGAGCGCTGGAGGAACAGAGAGGGGAGGGGGGGAATACCTGCAGAGAAAAATCACTGACAGTCACCGCTCTCTTCAGGGTGGACTGAGCAATCAGCGGTATGTGATAGGGATGGATAGATGTCTTTGGGTGGCATTCCTTTGCTTCCTGTATATTTTTAGAATCCTTATGCTGTATTTGGTTGTTCTTAAAGCAGAACTCTGGACAAAACTGTAATTAACCCTTGCAGTGGGGCAACCACATGCACTGCAAGGGTTAATCTAGGTGCTAAAATAAAAAGTTCTAGCCGGGTGGCTCCTGGACCGGTCCCTGGAGCCTCTCTCCCCGTCCGCTAAAGTCCTGGAGTCATCACGTTCTATACACCAGTGTGGGGGTGCCGAGGGGCCTACTCTCGCAGTAGCAGAGCAGGAGACGGGCTGGAGGGAGCGCTGTGGTTCGGGTGAATATAACTTTTTTTTTTATTATTAAGCACCGAGACAAAAATGAGCCCTTAACCCCCCCTTGAGTTCTGCTTTTATTAGGTTTTGCTTGTGTTGGAAAAGAAGCATAATAAACATGTTATGAAGCCATCTTTTTTTATTTTTTTTTCCCATATGTACAACCATTCCATTACATTGTAGAGCACGGACTAATCTCAAGCATGCGTCTCTTATTAAACGCAGGTCCTATTCCGGATCCTCGAGCCCCCATACAGAGAGGGGGACCCCCAACAGCTGGCATCCCACCCCGTGGTCTTCTTGGAGATGGCCCTAATGACCCGAGAGGAGGAACGCTGCTCACGGTTACAAGTGATGAACAACCACTCAGGTATAGAGATATAGATAACCTTCAAGTGTGAAAGCCCCCTGCCAGTGAAAGGCCCTGCCTCCCCGCTCCGCTCACCCAGCCTCCTGTGACAGCGTGTCAGAGAGGAGAGCGGGTACAAGCAGTCAGTGATTGCTGAGTGTTATTGCAGGTAGGACATGAGGACATGGTATGTTTACTATATCCTCAATTATGAATGAATGGGAAGTGATCTACATCACATCTACATCACTTCCTGTTCATTCATGGTTGTAGTTATAGTAAACACACTCTGTCCTCATGTTATGAATGATCAGGAACACTCAGTATAGAGGATTATATAACAGGGGGATACAGAAAAAGAGATTGAGGGCTCTGTGTGTGTCTCTGAGGACTCTATGACCTCAATCTCTTTTTTTTCTATTTTAAAAGGGAAATATCAGGGGGTCTGTTTAGACTCCCGAAGCCCCTAAAAGTAAAGTAAAAAATAAAAATATTTAATAAAAAATGACAATAAATAAAAATAAATATTAGAAATAAAAATAAAATATTTGAAAAAATAAAAACATTTTCGGTTTCGGCCTGACATTTTTTTTTTTTTTTCCAGTTTTGCTTTTTAAATTTCTATTTCTATTTTAACCAGTTGCCGTCCGCCCGTAGTAGAAAAACGGACGGACGGCACTGTCGCATTCGCGGGTTGCCGTCGCCAGACGGCATTTTTTTTCTGCTCGCGCGCGCCCCCTAGCGGGCACGCACGGGCAGAAAAGACCCGTCCAATGCGAACACCCGGTACCGGGTGTTTCACATATAGGCGATCAGCGGGTCCATAGCCCGCCGATCGCCTATATGTGCTCGTTTGCGTCCGCAACTCTGCTTCATCAGCTTCTTTTGGGGTCCACAGGTGACATTAGGGGTCCTAGAGACCCCTAATGTCTCCATAAAGAGGACCTGTCAGTGTGCCTTTGCTATTATATAGGGGGATTGTTATCCCCCTATATAATAGCAATAACGATGAGTGCAAAAAAATTAATACAAATAAAAATAAATAAAAGTCACATATAAAAAAGTAAAATAAAATAAAAGTCAGATATAAAAAAAATGGGAAAAAACCCCCCAAAATGTTTAACTCCCCCACCCCCACGTTTACGCGCCTATAAACGTAAATACGCGTCCAGTGCCCTAGCGCGCAAAAATTACAATTGCGCTACACATGTTACATATCGCCGCGAACGTCGCAGTGAGAGCAATCATTTTAGGGCCATCAATCACTGATAACACTAAACTGATGAGCGGTAACAGCTTTTAAAGCGTCGCCTATGGCCAATTTTGGGTATTATCGTTTTTTGCGGTTTTGCGCACGCACGCAATTTTAAGGCTTGACATTTTTGGTGTCTTTTTACCCGACGTGACCCCATCTTTTATATTTTACCAAAAAATTGGGTAATAATAAATGTTTTATCATTTAATATAGGGGAAACTGTTTAGTTTTTTTTATTTCGGTGATTTTTCCTTAATATAGTAAAAAAATAAAAACCCCAGTGGTGAATAAATACCACCAAAAGAAAGCTCTATCTGTCCCCAAAAAAGGGTATAAAATTCATTTCAGTGCAGCACTGCATGACGGAATAAATGTCAGTCAAAGTACCGCAGCGATGAATACTGAAAAATGGCCTGGATGGGAAGGGGGTTTAACACCGCGGATGTCAACTGGTTAAAGGAGAACTATGGGGTTAAGGCTTTTCCCCATAGTTCTCCTCAGGGTAACGGGAGGACACAAACTAGCGTCCTCACTATCACAATTATGTCGGGATCCGCCCAGCTGCATGACTGACAGCTGGCTCTGCCTATCTAGAGACAGAGCCAGCTGTACCCGTCCCCTCCCCCGTCCGTTCCGCCAGTCAGCGCTGGCGGATTGAAAAGCCCCTCCCCCCTCCCCCCCCCCCATAGTTCTCCTTTTAAACCGTTCCCTACTTTTTGCAAATGTAAAAACAAATTGTCTTTATCTATAATGTAACAGATACAGTATATTTGAAGGAAATCTTTATAAAATGTCCCACGTTTACCTTTATCACATCATTTCTTTTTAGCCGTGGTTACCTGCCCCCTCCTATGCAAGGCGGTCCTCCCCTTCTCCATGACAGAGGCCCGGCACCCCTAGACAACAGAGGAGGACCAATGGCTGAACCACCACGAGCTATGATGGGAGAACCCCGAGGAGCGCCCATAATGGATTCACGCGGGTCTCCTTTGGACGCACGAGGTAACAGCGTCGCATCCTGGAGCATTTTGCATTTTTTTCTGATGACTGAATTGAGCTTCCTGAGCCAACAGAAGACCGTTATGTCAATCGCGTTACATTTCCATCTTTTAAGGTATACGAGATCCCAGAGCAATGGAACAACGACCTGGGGAGACGAGGGGCCCCAATCCCGGACCGGGGCCAAAGGGACCTTTGCCTGGAATGCAAGGACCCGCACCAGGGCCAGCGGGACCTCAGCCCTCAAGACAGGTTTGATCAATTTTTTTAACTGTTTCTAATAACCAGACAACTACATTGAAGTGATCGCCACCTCTGTTGGGATGGAAATACAGGATTTTATTTGGGATTTGAACATTAAAGCTGAAATTTTGGTAAAATGTTTTCATCATGAAGCTCCAGGGATGTCCTTTACCATCAACAAGGTGTGTCCCTTATCCCGGTGGCTGCTGCTTCTTGTAGAAAGCTTCCCCACGGGTGTCACAGGATACCCTACAGCACTGATCTTCTGGTGGTGGGCGGGTTAACATCAGCCTCCTGCCAGTATGAAAGCATCTGCAAAAGTTGCATCACTAACCTGCCCCTTTCTCCTCCTCTTCCATTCACAGAGGTTTTTACTATTATTTCCCACAATGCAAAGCAACCTGTGATTTGGAGGAGGCCTTCAGTACAAACGTCGGACACCCCGGTCCGCACTTTTGAGAAGCAGCACACCCAGCATCCCCGAACCCCTCCTCCCCCAGCCCCTCTTAGAGCGCTTATTCCAGGACTTTCAGTCTCAACTTTCACATGTGATTGGAGGAGGTAGATCCGGCCTCCGCCTCTCCTCCAATCACAGGGCACTATGCATTGTGGGAAGTAATAGAACCACCTCCTAGGAATCATGTTGGACTCTGACCATTAGTGTGACGCTCTTACTGATGTAGAAGTGTTTTGCTTTTAGTGCTATAATGTATTGGGGAGGATAGCTAGGCCACGGCACCGCACCCCTGCACCATCCATCCTATAGAATGGACCTTTTGAAGGAGAACTATGGGGTTAAGGCTTTTCCCCATAGTTCTCTTTAGGGTAACGGGAGGAACACAAACTAGTGTCCCCCGTCACCCTAGGCTCAGTATACCGTGAGCTACAGCTCACTATATACTGAGACGACGCAGCTGAAGTGGATCCCGACAATTGTGCCGGGATCCGCCCAGCTGCGTGAGTGACAGCTGGCTCCTCCTATCTAGAGGCAGAGCCAGCTGTACCCTCCCCCGTCCGTTCCACCAGTCAGCGCTGGCGGGGAGGGGGGAATCAGCCCCTCCCCTGTCACGGCAGAGAGCCGTGACAGGATCGAGAGGTGAGCGAACGCCGGTATGTGTTCGCTCACCTCCCGATCTACTGAGCTGACCTGTGACAGTCTCATTGTCAGCTAGAACTATGAGGTGAGTGAAAAGCACTCCCCCTCATAGTTCTCCTTTTAAACTCACTGGGGCTTTGAGTTCCTTATACACCAGGGATGGCCAAACTGCTGCCCTCCAGCTATGGGTGAAACTACAAATCCCATGAAGCATCTCTCTCCAGGAGTCTGTGGCTGTGAGAATCTTGCAATGCCTCATGGGATTTGTAGTTCCACCACAGCTGGAGGGCCGGAGTTTGGCCATCCCTGTTATACACAGACATAACGCAATGTAAAACGATAAACATTTATTAATCGCCTTATTAAAACCAAGTCATCGTTAAAAGCTCTTGGGGTGTAACAGGCAAAGTATTTGTTTTGCCATTTCTGTCCAAATCTAATTCTTGGCTGAAGTTGGGGTTGACCGTGTTGGGGCGAGTGTCAACGGGCTTTGGTATCACGTTACGGCGATGAGACGATTTCTAGATCATACAGAATTAATTGAGAGATGCAGTTGACCTTCTTACCCGTAGTTGTCCTGCTTTAAATGTATTTTGCATTCCGATAGACATATATAGTAGGGATGCACTGATACCGATACCAGTACCGGTGCCGATACCGAGTATTTGGGCGAGTACTTGTAGTTGCCCAAATGCCTTCCCCGATACCAGAACTTTCGGTCAGAGGAAGACCTTCCTCTGACCGGCAGTGCCGTAGGGGAACATGGAGCCAGCTTCCCGTGCAATCAGGAAGCAGGGCAGCGACTAATAACCTGTTTCCTGATTGGCCGGGAAACCAGCTCCTTGCTGATTGACTGGGAAGCCGGCTTCCCGTCCAATCAGTTCATTTTTCGCTGCCTGGTTTCCTGATTGGCTGGGAAGCTGGCTCGATGCTGATTGAAATCTTCCTCTGTCCAGGAGTGCCGTAAGAGAACATGGAGACGACTTCCCAGGCAATTAAGAAGCCGGGCGCCAAGTAATGACACGCCTCCCGGCTTCATGGTTGGCTGGGAAGCCGGCTCCATGCTGATTGGCTGGGGAAGCCGGTTTCCCGACCAAACAACATGGAGCCGACTTCCCAGCCAATCAGGAAGGCGGGTCATTACTCGCCGCCCGGCTTTCTGATTGGCTGGGAAGCCGGCTCAATGCTGATTGGCTGGGGAAGCCGGTTTCCCGACCAAACAATATGGAGCCGGCTTCCCGGGCAATCTGGAAGCTGGACGGCATGTCATTACAAGCCGCCTGGTTTCCTGTTTGCCCGGGAAGCCGGCTCCATGCCAGCGGAAGCACCGGTATCCGTACTCGGTATCGGCGAGTACCAAAAGCAAAATATCGGTACTCAATACCGAGGAGTCGGTAACAGTGCATCCCCAATGTATAGCGATGCAAAACCCGTCTGATGCAAACAAATGTCCACGGACACAGCCCCTGACTGTAATTTGGGTACGGTTTGGTGGTCCCGGGTGTACAGGCATCTCCAGCACAGGGCGGGTTTAGTCCCGGACAGAGTTCGGTCACTCCCCAGGACCACGAAAAGGTAAGAATACCTATGCCAGTACAGAGGTACATGAATATGAAGGCGTAACAACGAGTCGCTGACATTATCCGGATACAGATAAAGAATAAAAATCAATGACATCCTCTTATGAGTCCTTATAAGTATATTGTTGGGGTGTACATACCCTTTAAATGCACCTTGTGTGAATGACGTTAGAAGCTCTTTCCCACAAGGTACTTTTTCCTTTTAGATTTGCTGGTCTTTTGGTTCACAAAAAATGAAGCTTTATTTTTGGTATAATAGAAGGTAAATCATAAATCGTCACATTTCTGGGTTACAGGAAGCAGGTTACCAATAAGTTCTGAACATTAAGTCATTAGTTTACTTTTATGGGAATGTGTAAAGGTGCCCATACACTGCTCGATTCTCGTACAAGAATCGGGCGAAATCCCGCGATCGTACGAGAATCGGGCAGTGTGAACTAAGACGTGCGACCGTTTCTACTGTACGGTCGCACGTCTTTTGTCGAGCCAACATGTTAAAAACCCCGCCGAGAATCGTACGATTCTCGGGGGGTTTCTAGCCTGCTCGTCCGATAGCTGCGGAACGGGCCGGTGTGCGCACACTGCCCGTTCTGCATTGCCGTCATCGGAAGCCCGCTCCTCAGCTGGGGCGGGCTTTTGATGATCGCAAGTACGATCTGCCCGTCCAAGGTGGGCAGATCGTACGAGCTTTCAAGAAGCAAACGACCATCGCAAGACAAAAGTCTTGCGATGGTCGTAAGGTGTATGGGCACCTTAAGAGTGTCATATGGTGATGGTGTTCTATGTAGGAACTAGAGATGCACCGATACCGCGTATTTGAGTACTCGTATTCACCCGAATGCTACCGATGCCTATTCCGATACCGGGACTTCCAGTATCAGTAAGCCGGACGGCAAATCATTACACGCTGCCCTGCTTCCTGATTGGCCGGGAAGCCGGCTCTTTGGGAGCATGGGGCCGGATTCCCGGCCAATCAGGAAGCCAGGTGGCGTGTAATGACTCGCTGCACGGCTTCCTGATACTGGAAGTCCCGATATCGGGGATAGGCATCCCTTATCCTGATCCCTCCATGCTGGAGGTAACATGGAGTCGGCTTCCCGGCCAATCGGGAAGCCAGGCGGCGTGTAATGACTCGCTGCCTGACTTCCTGATACTGGAAGTTCCAGTATCGGGATAGACATCCCTATCCTGATCCCTCCATGCTGGAGGTTGCATGGAGTCGGCTTCCCGGCCAATTGCGACGCCGGGCGGCGTGTAATGACTCACTCCCCAGCTTCCTGTATGGTTGGGAAGCTGGCCAATCAGGAAGCTGGATGGCGAGTCATTACATGCTGCCCGGCTTCCTGACTGGCCAGAAAGCCGGCTCCATGCTTCCTTGTCACCCAGGGAGCATGGGGCCGGCTTCTCAGCCAATCAGGAAGCCAGGTGGCTGGAGGTAACATGGAGTCGGCTTCCCGGCCAATCGAGAAGCCGGGCGGCGTGTAATGACTCACCGCCCAGCTTCCTGACTGTCCAGCTTCCCATACATAATCAGGAAGCTGGATGGCGAGTCATTACACGCCGCCCGGCTTCCATAATGGGACTTCCGTTATCAGTGAGTACCGGAAAAAAAAAAATCGGTACTCGATACCAAAAAGCTGGTGTATCCTTTAGTAGGAACTATGAAATTCTAGTATGAATACTCTAGATAAGTGGTTTGTTGGAGTAGACAATAAAGTGCTAGGGAGAAAGTTTAGCTACGGGTGGTAGGTCATGGAAGGGGGAACCATAAGACTAGTATAAATGGTATAATAAAGATAAGAAGGGACAGAGCTGAGGGCCCATTCACACCACATCCAGATCATCTCCAGACCAGATTGTTTCCGGATCCTAATGTATCCCTATGCTATTTCTGGCCTCTGTTCACACCAGTGCAGTCCGTTCCAGACCAGAAAAATACTGCACGTCTCGTTTTGTCTGGTCTGGAATGCACTGGAACTGCGGGCAAGTTCACACCATTTTCCGGAACAGATCTGGTCCTGGAAAATGGTGTGAACCTGCCCTGGAAGGGGCATGGGGTT